TCCAAGTGCTGGACGGGATGTATGCGAAACGAGAGTCAATCGCCAAGTCCACTGATGTATGCCTACTATATACAGAGTACATATGGGTATTACGCTAATTTCCAAATTTATTGTAAAAGCAAATCTGCCGATGTTACAAAATTGTATATATGTCTGAAATCTTGGATCTTCTTTGAGAAATTATAGTTTCCAGTGTCATGCTTAATGTGTTTCCGTATGGCTTCAGCCTATAGGTCTATCGCTCCCCTAGGGTAACTGCTGGAACGTACCCTGGGCTAGCGCTCCGTATATTGGAATGTACCCCTGGTAACTTATCTGATATGCGTTGTTAGCGGTAGGGAGGTAGGCTGTAGGTGACTTCCCTAGTACTCGTGTAGCTGGATTGGCGCAGGTACGGATTCGCGCATATTAGATAGTACACGGTACCGTTCGCTATAACTGGACCTGTACCCAAAGTACGTTCCGCAGTACCTGGTGCGGACATAGTACCCTCTCAGCCTTTCAGTATGTCCTAAATATTAAAATGCTTCTAATAGCAATGGCCGCTTGTTCCGTTTTACTACGTGCACACTGCACATTGTAATTGTAATGTGTGGTAGCGTGGCCCTAGTGTTAATAGGGGGTCCCAAACTACGTGCTATATGTATAGGCGTTAGTTACAAATACCTGTTCTAATTAGCACGTTGTTTGTCTTATTACTACGCTGCATTGTGCATTGTAATTGGTGCTGATGTTGTATTGTATTTGTCTGTTGCTTGTTGTGCTTGTGTTGTGCTTCGTTTTGACTGTTTGTTGTCGTCGTGGTTACAGGGCCGCTCTACGGTTCTAAGCGAGCATACTGCAGATGTTGCTCAGTTTCCCGGACTTGCTGAAGAAAGACGCGACGACGGAGAAGTACGTTAGAGACGCGACGGACTTTGTGCTGAGCCTGGAACAACGGAACGGCAATTATCCGGCAGGGATGGACGAGGTGTGTGCGACGACTACGAACTCAATGTCTCTGAAATATACGTATATTTGCAGGGGTAGAAATGAACTTTTGAACAAGGGAGTCCAACGCGACTCTCTGCCCTCAAAAAGAGGGAGTCCGCAGCAAAATGAGGGAGTCCGTAGTCTGAAGTTCAAAATTAAAGATTTGCTGAAAAAACACGGTAATTCCGCAAGGCCGTGCTCTGGAATGAACTAGTTAGTATAGCAGAATTGCAGAATACTCCTGCATATGTCAAATCAGGGAGTCCGACAGTAAATCAGGAAATATTTGACTCCAGACTCGCGTTAATTTCGCACCCTGTATTTAAATATATAAATATTTTATATAAATAAATATGTATATAACTCGAACGTCTGTTGCCAAATTACAGATCGCGATTTAAATGTGGGATTCAAAGCTGCTGCTCGTTCATAATCGCATATCGTCGTGCATTTTCTAACCAAAGCGTCGTGTACATTACTAAATTATGTCGTTAGCTGGTCGCCATTTCAGCATTACACATATTTTGAGGCTAAAGGGTGCGCTTCGTAAATGGAGTAGTATGCCAATTCATTAAGATTAGGATGGACTGTTCAAAGGCCAGATGCGAAATCGCCAAATCAAGATGCAAAAATGGCTACCGTGGCGAAATACCCGTACTTTTCCATGCAGTAGTGCATTGAACCGTTCTACAATCAACATATAGCAGATTTTAGGAGAACTGTGTTAATCACTGTTAATTACTGAGAAATGTGTGATGTTAATCTCACTTGCTTATCAGCCCTAGCATCCTTGTTATTCACACGAAATCAGTGGGTTTGTAAAACGTGGATTTTCCGTGCGATTTCAGGTTGGAGGGCCAGTAATACGTGCGGAGGAAGATGAGCTCATTCACTGGTGTCACGGCGCCGGCGGTAAATAAATCCGTGCTAGTTTGTCTTTAGCTTCTAGATAATTTGATTTTTATGTCTAGTCTAGCATGCGAATGTGTACCCGTCATCGCATACATATATATCAGGGGTTTATAATGACAAATTATTATTATTATTATTGTTTGTCATTATTAACCACTGATATATACATATATATATGTACATATACACGTACGCGTATACATATATATCTGTATGTATATGTATGTGTTATTATATATTATTCATACATATATATATATATATATAAATATTATATACGTTTGCGGTAGCGTGATTTATCAGCGTGTACCCGGTCGTTAATTAAGCTCAGGCTCGTTAACGCAGGAGTCGTCTACCTCTTCGCGAGGGCGTATCTTGTGTGGAAGGATACCCGCTACTTGGAGGCCTGCAAGCGATGTGCCGACCTGGTCTGGAAGAAGGGGCTTCTCAGGAAAGGTCCAGGTACGTTTGATTTTCCCTTGTCCGGAGCCGACCGCTGCGTGCGGCATTCAACTGATCTATTAGCGGGCGTGAGACGAACGTGTCGCCCTTGGGTACTGCCGTTAGGTCAGTTCCGGCTAACCAACTAATAGAAATAACTCGTAAAAATAACTAGTAAAATAACTAATAGAGTTTGTACGTTGTGCATTCCGTAATGTTGACCTGACGGCGCGTTCGTTGCACTAAGAGTGGTTTTTAGATCGTGTTGCTATTAAGCATGATCTGTAAAACGGTCTGTCACAACGAGACGATTGTGCGAAGTTGCCCATGCTGTAAGCTTAATGTGATCATGGCCTTGGTCATTGCGAAGGGGGGGAGGGGGTCATCAAGGGGGGAGTTATACATGTACACTGCTCTCCCGCTCCGTACGTCACACGCTCGCATTTGCAGGCATATCATCTGTCACGGCAGAAAGTTATACATATATGCCGCTAATAATATAAAAATAATAAATATATATATATATATAATACATATATATACAATAATATAAAATAATAATGATATATATATACATATATTTGCAGGGATCTGTCACGGGGTTGCGGGTAGCGGATACGTTTTCCTGCTGCTCTACCGGCTGACAGAGGAGCCGGGCTACCTCCACCGCGCGCTCCGATTCGCAGACTTTGTCTACACGGACACGTTCCGGCGGCACGCTCGCACGCCGGACCGTGCGCACAGCCTGTACGAGGGCTGGGCCGGCACAATGCTCTACCTCTCAGACCTGCTGCACCCGGAGAAGGCAGAGTTCCCGCTTTTCAACGTGTTCTTCTAGCGAAGTCGCGCGGTTGGTGATTCCATCGGCGGTTTGTCGATGCGAAAGATGGCGTTTTCGCTTTTCGTCGTGTTTTTTTTTTGACGTCGTGTGGTTACGAATTCCGCGGCTGTTTGCCGCTGCGAAAGGCAGCGTTTTCAATTTTTGGCAGGTTCTTCTAGACTTCGCGCTGTTGCGCATTAGTAGGATTCTGTAAGCACACTTTTCGCCATGTTTTTCTAAACATCGTGGTTGAGAATTCGGCAGCGCATGCTGATGGGAAAGGCAGCATTTCCATTTTTCGGCAGGTTTTTCTAGACGTCGTGTGGTTACGAATTCGGCGGTGGATGTCAATGCGAAAGGCAGCGTTTCCATTATTTTTTCACGGGTTTTTCTAAACGTCGTGGCTGAGAATTCCTCACGACGGTCGATGCGAAAGGCAACGTTTACACTTTTTCACGTGTTTTTTTGTTTAGCATGCGGCTTGCGTGGTTTTGCGTGAATTGTGAGGTGAAGGGCCAAAGCTTCCACTGTTCAGTATGCGATTCTGAACCCGCTGGTTGTGAAATTTTTGTGTCAGAATTCCGAGATGTAATCAACGCCTTTGCTCACTGTCTTGTGACAGTCTTTACCATACTGCGAATTACTTGCCAATGCTGCAAATGTGTTTTTTGTGTGTAATTGTATATTCAGTGTTCTTCCAATTGTGACTTCCAGTTGTCACTTCCAATTGCGACTTCTAATTGCGGCTTCTAATTGCGGCTTCTAATTGGCAAGTCCAAACCACAGTCCTTGAAATTAGAAGTGTCAGTCACATGGAAAGTGAGGTGTTTTCTTGTTGCTTTCGTATGCCCGACTAACTGAGGCATTGTGCAACAATCTAGTACTGAACTCTTCCACTCCTGCCTTTTCACTCGAGTCAGTATTGACTGCCAGCAGAGTGTGTACACTTTTTTGTACAGAAATAAAGTACTACCTCCCAGAATGCCTTCGTAGTCAGACGTAGGATAAACTGTGTGGGTAGCGAGCTCATTAGAAGAGTACAAATGTGTATGATTTCGAGAGAGCAGGTTAATCGTTAGCTCTGCTGGTGTATAGCCCCTTCGCTCCTGTTACAGGAAGCTTCTAGCTGTAGCAGGAGCCAAGGGGCTACACCAGCAGAACTAGTTAATCGTTTGATTAATGCAATGCAGGGCTATTCAGTATTGTGTAGGCGGGCATAATCTGACTGGAAATAGAACGATGGTAAACATTATAGACGTGAATAGCAAACTATTGGCGATTGATTTTAATTAAAGAGGGTAGACTAGAAGTTTGTACATACGCGGTTATTTACGTTATCACAAGCTTTCACTCTTTACACGCTTGTGATGATGTTGGTATTAGTGAACTGTCCCTTAAACTTTCATTATGCGCAAGGTCGGTGTGTGCCACTCATGAGAAGAAAAAGACGCTTGCTCAAATCTCTCTCAACAGCCATAAATATAATTTACCTATAGTTTGGTACACCACAGGATACAGCACTGGCACCGAAGTATAGGCCCCTACGTATGCATACTTTTTAGTAGGATAGTGGATATCTCTCTTATAGAGTATGAGTATAATAATATTTGATATAATCATAGTTACATGATTACCAGATCGTCTACTTCTGCTGATAATAATCTATATTATCTCATTTATAATATAAATTCCTGTTCAAATGCAAGGAATGGGAATATAATTAAAACAAGTAAAGCTAATGAAAATGTTCTGTAAACAAGGTTTACTGGCATGGCGTTAGTGGAATATTGACTATAATGTGGAATGCCTGCGTTTTGGTTGTGTGGCGGATACTGTCAGAGCACTAGTGTTAACCTATTCCCACAGAGTCACATATTTTACGTAAATTACATGTTGAATGATGAAGAATTTGTCTTTTTATATGTTTACTCTCGATATTTCTGCCTTCGTATGTAAATGATGATAGAACTCGTTGATGCCTTTATAACGGTGTGATTTCAGTAGTCGTATATCATTGACTGTATCCTTGCTATTCAATTTTCGAGGTTTGATCTCAACGCTACGTTAGTCGTGTTTATTTACATTTAAAAAGTGTTTACCGATAAGGATTTTCCACATGAGTACTTGAAAGATTTCCGAGCGGGCCCGTAGCTTCAGAAAGTTGGTAAAGGTAATCACAATTCCATGACCTAACTAAGTAATAGCAATGTAATGATTAGAATGCGAGCACGTGAAGGATAAGATCAGACTTAATGGATTTGTTTCATTCTTTATTACATATATTTTATGGTTTTTTTTATTTATTTCATCTTGTTATTATTCTCCATTTTTCACGGGATTGGTGCTTCCTTTCTTCCCCCATATACCACACTTGGAGTGTGACTACACGATTGCGTTGTGTGTATTATACATTGCATTTATATAGTTAGGATTACTAATAGCAGAGTATATAGTTTATTAGTTACGAGCGGCAATCGAGTGCTCAACTTATTTTAAATTTGTAAAACGATTAAGTTAAAGTTGTACAGATATTCCACTTATAGGAAAGTTTTGTATTGTCGACATACAGTGTTCGTGTTCGTTTGTCCGTTTTTACTGTGTGAATTTAATTACGTGTGGTAAATATATGTCGAAAATTTATCAAGATAGAAATGGGTACAAATCGTCTTTGTAATGCGATAATGCAGAGACGATTTGAATTTGATCTTGGTGATTAAAATTGGTCTTGGTAGATAAATGATTATTGAAAGCCGACATCACGATGGCTTGATCATCACGTTTTCTAAATCTACGTAGATATCTAGAACTGATCAGTCCAAGATTTTGCCAGTTCTATAACTGTACTAATGACGTAAGAGCAGCCAAGATCCTTATAGTGTGATGTATGTATACTGTGCATATATATGGTATGAGCGTCGATGTTCTATCTGTGTAGTGTGGTTAGGTGTTAAGCGTGCTGGGTTCTTATTTCGTATTATTGACAGAAATTGCTTGGGGTTTAGTGGCCTTGGGTTGCGCTGTGTGCTTTGCATTAATTATTTTGCGGATTCGCTGGGTTACTCTATACTGCTAATTATTATTGCGGTCGGTGGTGTGTGTGCTGTTCTACATTTGATGAACATTTGTGATTGTGATAACTGCTTTAATAGGGTATATATTAATGAATCTCGGTAGCAGAAGTGTGGCAGATGGTTGTCTCTAGTCACTATTGTTCGTGTAAGACAAAATCAAGATGCGAGTAATTAAAGAAGTATCTAAAATTAGATGTCAAAAGTTATCACAGAGAGAGTATAGTACGTATCTTTTTTGCTCTGTCCGATCATGCCCATGTTATTTTGTATCTTATATTTGAATTTATTGCCGGATACATAGACTCGGCATGGACATTTCCGGGGCATCTGTCGGACAAAAACTTACGGCGACATTTTAAACTATACTAAGGGTAGTAGGTAGACAGACTAGTCCGCGAAATATAATGTCGCCCAAATACAGTGGATTAGTTAGTTGTGCGAGAAGAGAGCAGTCTTTCAACTTTGTGTACACTTATGCATTATATATTAATATAGATGGAACTGATTGCGTGATAATTTATTGTAATAATCTTATTTTATATCTACATATTAAATATTTATGATATTATGACGTACTGATGTATTATTAATGTGTGAGATTGATAGATTTCAGTTAGTAAATCATAATGTCGCTCATATAGGTGGACACGTATCCGTGAAGTATATCGATATACTCTCGCTTTTCCACATTACGAAATTCCTACAACGTTTTGTGACGTAATAAGTCAATCGAATTCTATTTTTATCAAATAGGCTGATGATTAGCATGGTCCGGTCGTTTAAGTTGCACCGTTAGTCCGGCAAATTGTTATACAATTTCAAGCGTAATCATTATTATTTCTGTATGTGAATCTACCGTGTAATCAAGAGGAGTACGAACAGTTCGTGATTACGCTCGTTAATTGTGCCTTTCGCTGAAAAAAAGTCTAATATTGTCAAATACATCTTCCTACCCTTCTAAATATCCTTTCTCTATCGTGGGACAACAAAGCGCGTAGCTTGAGGTGTGCATGATAACTTGTGAACTATGGCTCTATAATTACTATCGGTTTGCCTATCACGCATCTATTTACAAGACGAAAACACTCGCGACGTGAAATGGCTGTCGATAACGTGGACACAACAAAATCACGACGGCGTTGCTTGTTACTCTGACGTGTAGTGTTTGTCGTAGAGTGGATTTTGCCTCGGTCTGTCCTTGACTTTGTCATATTGATGTTTTCCTCACGGGTGTTTCTCTGGAGGGTGGGTGTTCTGGAATGACCAAAGCTGTTAGCGAACTTAGTAATGGTCAAACGTAGCTATATTAAAAACTAGAGCACTCGGGTGAGAGCACAAGACCTCCGCCTAACGAATGCAGCTCAATTCTCTCACGTGTAATTTTTTTCATTAATTAATTAAATAATTAATTGGATCCGGAGATCACCACAAAATGTAATACAATTCTAAGTTACCCCATTGCTGACACCTGATCGGCTGAAAATTTAATTAACTTAATTAAATAATTAATTAATTAATTGGATCCGGATTCACTTACCTAAATATCTAATCCATTCTAAGTGCGAGCCCACTATTGCTGACTATCCTCGCAAAATTTGCTATGACGAGGTGCCACTCCCAGTGCACACGTGTGGTGTGTTAGTGTAGCCTCGCCTGACACCAAAGACGCCGAACAACACGCTCGACGCCCTGCACAGCACAACCAACACAGGCACACCCGCCGTGGAAAACATAACCTCCTGCCAACCCCTTGGCGGAAGTAATAACGCACCAATCTGTAACGGAACATTGTCTGAAACTACAATATTTCACCCTCATACCATTTATCAACGTCAGAAGCATTCGGCCCCATACACGCACAGACTCGTGCACGCATGCCCCCGCACGCGCTACACCTGCCGCGACTATCCCGATCTAAACGTTATAGATTATGTTGTGCGCACCACACGACCCTATCCACAGCTGCCACGCCGCCCCGTGGCTTCCCCCCCCCGCCCCGTGTTCCTCGGCCTCAGGCTATCGTAAATCCCCAACTTCAAGACGCGTCCCCGCCCGCCCCCGTGCCGGACCCAGGCGCCTGCACTCGCACGGGGGCCCGGGGCCATCAGGCCCCTTCAGCACGCGGAGCTGCGCACACAGACAACGGCGACCACATATCGTAATTGTAAAGATGGACAGTCGTCTCCCGTTACTCTCACTGCACCGAGCAGGCGATTATGCGGCCACCTCACCTGGCTGAGAGCTGAAACATGTAACCTTGTGTTTGTGGCCGTGACGTGCCGTGCCGGCGTGATCCGGTATCTGTTTGCTGCCCGCCCCGCCCGCCCCCGGGCGCCCTCTCGAGACGCACGCGCGCGCCCACCCCCGGCACACCCGGACAACACCCGACCGCGACCCCCCGCCAGCAACCACCGAGCACCCCCACCCTCGCCGGCACCAGTGCCCACGCAGCACCCCGCAGACCCGGGACCGAGACCGCACGCGCACCCGACGCACCCGCGGCGCGACGCCCCGTGACGCCCGCGCCGGCCGGCAGACCCAGACCCACACACGACGAGACGAACCCCCCCGAGGCGGACCCCGGGGGGTTGCAGCCGGGTTTCGTGCAGCCACCCGTGCAATGAACGTATCGGGCGCCGCCTAGTGCCCACGGCACGGACCCCCGGCCCTTCACCGCCTGCCACACGCCGTGTAGTGCGGGCCCCCGGCCCTCGCGCTCTCTGAGCGCGCATCGCGCTCGCTCCGCGTCCGGTGCTGTCGCTTCTCGCCCTCGCGGCTCGCCTCCGCTCCCGCGGGTGCCCGCCGCCGTCCATGGTGCCGGGACTGTGTCGTGCCGGGAGTGCCTGCCGGGTGTATGGGATCGCCCCGGCTGGACAAAAACTTCAGAGCCAATACCCTGGCCTGGAGGCGGCCTGCAGGCCTCACGATATTTACGGCGGTCCCGCCATGCCGAGACCATATCGCCTCAGCCCATCCGCGCGGCAAGCGAGCGAACTAGCTCATGCGCTCGGTCCGCGCGCGCATGTACTCCGGACAATTCAAGCGGTGCTAACATGGCCAACGGCCAGTGTGTGGGTGAGGTGAGGGTGGCGCGCGCGCGTGGCGTGCGTTCCTTGGCAGGGGCGCGACTTCCGTCCGCAAAAAATGAAATAAACCTTTCCGTCCCGATAAATAACTTCCGTCCCCGTTTTACCAAGGCTTGCGAGATGGTATTGGACTGGTATCCGGCCTCAACGCTCTGCGCCCGCTACGACAATGACAGCGCTCTGCGCACGAACAGGGCTCCGGCGGCGAAGACCAGTTAGCCAGTACCGTGGAAAATGCTCTCGCGGCCCGGTCGCGCAGGCCATGCATTAATTTGCACCACGCCTTAGCATACAGTACGCCATTCATCTCTCTCAACTCGCGAACCAGACGCCACATGCCGTCTCAGCACCGAGTCAAACACCGCGCGACGCGACAGTCCCTATCTTATGGCTGCGAGTCCAGTGGCGCCTCTTTATCTCTCGTTCGCGCGCGCGCTCGGCTCACACCGGCGGACGGACGTTACTCTACCTCAAATGCGACAGATGAGAACAATAATTACTCCGTGATCGCTCCGGATGTGCGCCTGTGCGCAGAGCGCTGTTGATGGCGCGCCTGCTCTCTCTCTCTCTCTCGGCCCATATACTTTCATCGCTTCCACTTGGTCGATTCTATTGGGCGCCTACCGTGGGAGATCAGCCGCCTGTACCCATTAGAGTGAGCGAGACTCGATCTCTGCGCCCACGGCCGTCTCTCTCTCGCTCTCTTGTCTCCACCGTGGCCAACCTGATGTGCGGCCCGCGATCGCGCCGCCCCGACCCCCCGGGGCCGCGGGCGCCCGGCCGGCCGTGCGCCGGCCCCTCGCGGTGGCTCCGGGCCTCGCTCGCTTGCGCATGGCCCTGTGCCGTGCTGTGTGTGTGTGTTCTGTGCTGTTGCATGCACACGCGTATAATATATATGAATATAACTCGCTAGCCGTAGCCTAGTCGCAGAGTAGGCTACTAGTAGCTAGTAGGCTAGGTAGCTCAGTATGCCTAGTAGCTAGTATGCTAGTATGCTAGTTAGCTTAGTAGCTAGTATGCTAGTATGCTAGTAGCATAGTAATGCTAGATATAGCTAGTACTGCTAGGTATGCTAGTAGCTATTATGCGTAGTATGATAGTAGTTAGTAATAGATAGTATGCTAGTAGCTAGATATGCTAGTAGCTAGTTATGCTAGTATGGCCTAGTGATGCTAGTATGCCTAAGTATGCTAGTACTGCTAGTATGCTAGTATGCTAGTATAGTAGTATGCTGAGTATGCTCAGTAGCTAGACTCTATGATACGGCCCTGCTAGGTTCGGCGTCAGTATATGTCAGATATGACGGTCGGACGGTCGTGGGGGCTATCTATACACACAGGATGCGTGAGTTTGCGGATACCCATAAATAGTATATCAAGATTAGCCGAGTCCGCGGTATATAGTGTTGGGGTGCTCGGAGTTAGGGTGCTTGTTATGCGTTAGCGCGTTAGGCGTTTTTGCATCATTCTTTGATATACGGAAAGTCTGATGCGGAAGTTTGATATGCGTTAGTATGAATATGACCATGCCCAGCAACCAACCACACAGCACCCCATACAGCAGGCGGTATGCATTTACAACTTGCGGAGTAGCCCTGATTCTGTGCGCGTGAGAGCGCTCCAGGTGTTACGTCGACGAGCAGGCGTACCTTTGCTTCATTTGAGAACATTATGGCCGACCCGAGCCGGGAAGCCTAAGCCTAGGCTCTTTTTACGATCTGAAGGAAGATGGCGCCGGCGGCGATGGATCTCATTGAGCAGGCACCAGGCACCTGCATGCATGACGGCACGCCGCATTGATGGATGCGCCGGGTCGAGAAGACCTGTAGGAAGTACATCGAGCGACCGCAGGCAGCAGAACATGTTCGTCCTTGTCTGCAGGTCGTACATTGCTCCCTGGCACCCTGCTTGTGCGAAACCGCGAGAGAAAACCGTGAGAAAACGCAGTTGTGAGAAACCGTGAATGAAAACGATGAGTGAAGCGTGAGAGATACTACCTTGGCTAGTGGAATGTAGCGTAAAACGGGGAGCCTACGTGAGAGAGCATGAGAGACTGCGTGAGGCGAAACCCGTAAATAACTTCCTCCGTCACCCTGCCACGAAAACCCGTGCACGGAGTTAAAACGCCGGAGGGGATGCCGCTATACGTGCACAACTATGCACGACGAATCTCTAGAAGCACGTGTTCTACAGCGTGGCCGGCAACGTCGTGTAGTCCGTCAGACAATAAGAAAATCCCGCCCACTCTGACAGAACACTCACGAACTTGTGGTTCTGTTGAGAGCAGCCGTTTCCCTGTAGCGGGAGCGCAAGGGGACTACCACCGTAGAGCTAGAGTCTGCAGTATATGCTCGATGATCAGGTCGCGTTCTATAAAGCGGGTCAGTCTACCCATACACGCATGAACTGTGACGTCATATCGTACTACCATCACCTGTTACGTACACAGCTGCACATCTCACCCCAGGGCGGCCGTACTTCTGCTGTTGGATGGACTGCACCCCCCCCCATAGATTTTAGAGCCAAAGTGAAAAAAGAAATTAGTTGGTCTCTAGACTAAAAGGGAATCTGTCCCATCGTAGTCACGAGTGAAGGCTGTACTAGTGTACTCAAAACTGCCCTCAGCCATACCATACTCTGCGATCTACATTTTCAAAATTTTGGAGACCAGACCCCCCCCACCCCCCCACCTTTTTCTCACCCCTTCTTTGAAATCCTGCGATCCGCCACTGCCCCGCACTAGCGAATTTGCTCCGAGCCTACCGGCCCTGCGCTTGGATGGACAGTGCCGCGCATGCCTACACCCGTTACAGCTACGTTCACACCACCAAGGTTTCAACACGTATACAATGTATTACACGCTCGCAATGTCTATATGATATCTATTAATATGTTTCAATGTTATAGTATATATACAATGTATTACATTGTCACGATTATCACGAATGTTTTACATTGTACTGGGAGCAAACAATGCCGTGGCCAATGCAGTGTCAAATGCGTTCGCAGTTTCATTTATTGAACTTCGACGATACAATAATTATACGCTACCAATACAAGCCTAAAGATACAATAGAGAACAATATTAAAAAAATATAAGTGTATTAATAATTTATGTGGAAATATGTATTACCATTTTATATTGATAAGTAAAATTCTATTGTATCTTGAGATTTATATTACTATCGTATATATCTTGAGATCCTCGATATAATGGTTAAATAATTAGTTATTATGTACGTACGTAATTTTGTAATTATGAGATCGTAATTATATCAGGAGTAGATAATAGAAGATATATATACTGATTATATATATATATATATTCAACATTTCATATTCGCTCTATAACTCAGATATACTATTACGTATATAGTGCATATTCACATACTCCAACTATCACTCAGGTAATTGGAGATCACTCGAGCCCTGATGCATTTTCTTGTAAGATTATGAAGCATTTCGAACGACTGCTACATGAATTACAAACATAAGCCAAACTCCACAGGCTTGATACGTACATTTTTGCGGTGGTTTTCTTCCGCTGCTATAGTTCACTGATATGGCTGCTAAATGTAGAACTGCCGTCACGAAAGCAGGCAAGGATAGCTGTCCGTCTGTCGCCTCACGTAAAAACAAATTATTCTAGCGAAGTAATGGTCGAAATGAGTGGTTACAATCTCCCTCTTCCCCGTACGGTTAATGCGGTCGACAACGTATGCATTTGTTTGTGCTGCCTGTCCAAAGGTTGCATGCACGTTGTAATCCGCCATTCGTTCTATAAACATGTACAGGACTGTGCGCCGTGGGCCGTTAGACTTGCTAAATATATATATAGCATACATTTGAGATGTGTCAGGCTATATTACTCATGCTATGTGGCACGATGTTATGTTAGACGAGTATTATTACAGCAGAGTGACGTTTAGAAAGTAATGACGAATGAAATAGTATTCATATTACCAGGATTTTACATCAGAATTGCACATTGTCTCAATAGCCGCAGATCTAGAAATTCAGGAGAGGGGACCTTGGGAATGCGCATTGGGGAAAGGTTGGGAGAAAACTCCGACATTATGTATTTTTTCATAGAATACTGTTGAAATCTTATGAATTTTGACCGTATATCTTTTATGTTGAAGTACGCTGTTTTACGTTAACTGATCGAAATTTTTGATGCGTGAACCCGTGTGTGCGTGTGCTTGTGTGTAGGTATACATGCATGCCTGCGTGCTTGCGTTATATTTTTAATTTATTTATTCTATTTGCTCGTCGAAATGACGAAATGTTCGTCATATAGACCTACTGAAAAAATTGAACTGGCTTTCCTAAACGGGGCTTTTGACATATGAATTATGATTATTGAAAGCCGACATCACGATGGCTTGATCATCACGTTTTCTAAATCTACGTAGATATCTAGAACTGATCAGTCCAAGATTTTGCCAGTGAAATTATGTGCTAGTTATATACTTGCTATTAAGTACTTATTACGCATTCTATCTTTATTTGTATTGTAGCTCTTTTTCTAGCGTATTATGACAGAAATTGCTTGTACTTTCTTTCATACATTTTTATTCGATTCGCTTGCTCTACCTAATTCTATTATTGCTGTCTGTTCCGTTTCATACATTTATTAACATTCGTTGATGATAACTTTTTATGAAAAGACGGAGCAAAGTGTTGCAGGATGCACTTCTATCAGTTTTCGTAAAAAATATTTCGAAGATGTCAGTATATAAATAGATCTCGAAATTTTATAGATAGATGTCAAAATTTTATTCAACAGTCAGATGTTGTTAGATATAAACTTTGCGGCGATCATGCCCATGTTATTTTGTATCTTATAATTTGATTTATTGCGATACATAGACTCGCATGACATTTCTCGGGGCATCGGACAAAACTTACGGTACGTTTTTAAATATACTAAGTAGTAGGTAACCAGACAGTCCCGCGAAATATAATGTCTCCCAAAATACATGTTAAGTTATGTGCGAAAGCGTCTTCAACTTTGTGTACATTATGCATTATATATATATATAGATGGAACTGATTGCGTGATAATTGAACATTACTAATTAAACATTAACTCATTAAACATTAACGTGCATTATTTATGTATTATTAATGTAGAGTGTCGTGAATTATCGATATACTCTCGCTTCCACATTACATTACCTACAACGTTTTGTCGTAATAAGTCAATCGATTCTATTTTATCAAATAGCTGATAACATTGCCGTTTAGTTCACCGTTAGTCGGCAAATTGTTAATACAATTTCAAGCTCAATCATTTTATTCTTTATAATTACGTAATAAATACGAAGTATCGTGATTACGCTCGTTATTTGCCTTTGTGAAAAAGTCTAATATTGTCAAAATCCATTTCCTACCCTTCTAAATATCCTTTCTCTATCTGGGACCTTAGGGTAACTTAGTGTGCATGATAACTTGTAAACTATGGCTCTATAATTACTATCGGTTTGCCTATCACGCTTCTATTTACAAACGAAAACACTCGCGAGTGAAATTGGCTGTCGTACGTGGAACAACAAAATCACGACGGGTTGTTGTTACTGGACCGCTTAGTTGTCGTAGGATTTTGCCTCGGTCTGTCCTTGACTTGTCATATTGATGTTTTCCTCACGAGTGTTCTCTGAGGGTGTTCTGGAATGACAAATTTAGCGGACTTCGTGGTCACTGTATATAAAACTAGAGCACTCGGAGAGCGCAGACCTCCGCCAAGGCAGCTCAATTCTCTCACTGTAATTTTTTTCATTAATTAATTAAATAATTAATTGGATCCGGATCACCACAAAAATGTAATCAATTCTAAGTTACCCCATTTCTGACCTATCCTGAACATTTAATTAATTAATTAATTAATTGGATCCGGATCACTACCAAAATCTAATCAATTCTAAGTCAGCCCATTTCTGACCTATCCTGAAAATTTTATGACAATCCGTCCATAACTTTTTTAGTTAGGCTGTACACAAAGAAACAAACGCACAAACCCACAAACCAACAAACACACGCCGGTGAAAACATAACCTCCTGCCAACCCCTTGGCGGAGGTAATAACCACAAATTGTAACGAAACATTGTCTGAAAACTACAATATTTACCCTATACCTTTTCAACGTAGAGGATTCGGCCCCATACACGCACAGACTCGTACGCACGCATGCACACACGCACGCGTACATGTATATCA